ACCCATTTGCCTGTTGTTCCGACGGCGATCAAATGCGTTTCCGCAACATCGCAGCCTACGATACCCATCAGCGCCCAGCTATGATCACAAGTCGGCCGAGTCGTCAACCCGGCGGCCCCCACAGCCCCTGGAGGTGGTCCTTCGTGTTGTTGGGTGAATAAGCTGTAGTTGCATCTAGAGGCATCTCCCGCATGAAGTGTGGTCCGCGGGTTGCCCTGCCCAGCCTCCTGAGGCTGAGCCAGCTGTCACACTGAGCCACTCAGCGCGTGCTGCCCGGCTGCGTTCGTTGTTAGCATTTGGCACCAAACTCGCATTTTTGCCACCTACTTAAGGTTGGTGTGTACCCTTTCCCACTGCGCAATCTTGAGACAGTGCCTTCAACAAGCCAGCCGCCACCATGCCCCTCCTGGGTGCCGCTCGCCGCGCTGCCAAGCGCGCGCCCCGCTGGCGATCAAGGAAACATGGCGCTGGGCCATTGTGCTGCACCGGGCAACGAGAAGCACCCCCGCATGCCCCAAGTCGCCATCACCCCTGGCGTATCGAGAAGACCATGCCGCCGAGGACGCCGCTCCGCGCGCGCCTGGGCCCTATGGCGCGCCCATTATGCAGAACTTATTTATTTTGCAAGGCCGTTGCCGTGTCCGTTGGTGTTTTCAGCTTGGTCTGTTGTTAAGGTCAGTTTATTGTGCAGTGCTGTCAATGCACTTGACCAGCAACTCGGTGGTGTTTCACCTTGCTGCGCACTAGCATAAGCCAGTGCCTTATTTATATATGTAAATCGCACTATATGCATGCTTCCTCATCAGCAACGGGTCAGGAGCACGGGTGGCAGCATATGCGGCGCAGTGTCCTTGGTCGCCACAACCCGCCGCATGGTTGCGGCGACCCAGGGTCCCCGCAAACAGGCGGCTGGTTGTGGCGACCACTGGTCAATCTTTGGGTACCCACAACCAAGGCGGTGGTTGCGGGTTGCGACGACCAGCTGCATCCAGGCGCAACCACCGCCACCGCGCGCCCACATGTTTCCGACGATATCAGGTGGTGTAAACACATTGTGTTGAGAGGCAGGCATAATCACGTCCAATTTATAGTCAAAAGGCAATCGCTTTGCAAAGCGTCACTTGCCATTCACCCATCACGAACAGTCTTGTTGATTACCCACTGCGCTCCCACACATGGACCATTATGCATGCATACGTCAGGCGTACAAGCACGCGGCATCAGTTTTAACATCCACAATCTTTTTGGGCATGCTGGTGGGGCAGGCAGGCTTTAAAAGCTGAGTCAGCCCCTAGCTGCTCTGTGCAGCTGCACTCCATCCACTGCTGTCTGATGTGAACCGCTGGCTGATTTGCTGGCTGGGTGGCGTGTTTGGATACCAAACACATTGGTATTCAAATAATATCAGGCGCACGGGCGCGAGCTGGTGGCAGCTGCTGCCCGTCTCACAGCCCCACGCCACGGCCGCCGCCGGGCGAGCTGCCACATCAAGCACGGCCACAAGGCCGCGCCCGTGCTGTGTGTGCATGACTACTCTCTAGAGGAGATGAGGAGTGCAGCTCGCTTGGTGCACAGCAGCTGCAGTTGTGCTTGCGTGCACTCTGCCAGGCTAGCAGGCGTTGCTGCGCTTTGTTGACTGTCTTGCCATCTTCGCTGCCTGGCTTCAGGGCAAGCCATGCATCCTGACCTTCTGTGATGTGAAACGTATGCTATTTCATCCAACACAATTGAAACACGGCTGTTTGCTAGCACACTTGCCCCTTGAGCTTGGCTCGCATGCCTGTGGAGCCTCCTTGCAGCAGCTTGCTTGGGCGCTGCACAAATAAAGGCCGTGAGTGCGCTGCACCCATGTCCTTTGAAGTCAACTCTTGTATTACAACATCATTAAACGTGCTAGCGCATCAGAAACAAACACACATCACGCACGGGCCTGAGGTGGTGGTGCCTGCACACACTGACATTGCTGACGGCGCGTCTGCGCCTGTGTACTGTAATATCAATTACATACATGGGTGATGTGAGGGCACCACGCGGGCGGTGCCGCTCTGTGTGGATGCTGGGCAGCGGCAAGGCAGCCGACTGCCGGCGCCCCCCCCCCTGGCAAGGGAGCGGGAGCGCATGCTGTGGGCCGAACAAACCCAAGCGCTGACTGCGCTGGGCGTAGCGGCAAGGATTTGCTGGCAATCAAGGTTGTAGGCGGCAAGCATGTTGGAACTCACACCAGGCGCAGGACGGCACTCTCTCACAGTGCCAAGTGCCCACGAACGGCAATTGATTTTTGCGGGGTGAGGCGCGCACACTTCCTGAGAAAACCACTCATGGCGCGCCGCAAGCGTCGTCGCGCTTTTGGCCGTCAGCAGCCGGGGCAGCTGCCGGGCAGCGGCGCGCCATAACGGCAGTACACCTGCACGGCGTGTGAAAAATCCAGGCTGATATCAAAAAGCAATGCACGCATGCCTTGCTGAGTCGGTGTGGTTTGCCGCCCCAATCGTTTTGTAGAGTGCAAAGAGATAGTATCTCAGGGGGCGCCTGGCCTTGAATGCGCAGTCAGGTGGATGCAGCCACTGCGCCCGCGGCCGGGGTCGTCGCCGCCGGGGTGGTCGCGGGCAGCGGGGGCGAGACCTGGCCGGTCTGCGCGGCCGTGGCCACAACGGTCGGTGCTGCAGGAGCCTGCGACGCCGGCGCCTGTGTGACCGACGCCTGCGCCGCGGGCGTCGGCGTTGCAGGGGCCTGCGGCGCCGCCGGGACCGGCGCCGCGGGCGCGGGCGTTGCAGGGGCCTGCCCTGCCAAAGCCTGCGCAGCGAGCCCCGCGCCCGCAGCCGCGGCGGGCGTCGCCGCGACGGGGCCGGCGGCCGTCGCTGCTGCTGCTGCGGCGGCAGCGGCAGCGGCGCGCGCCCTGGCTGCGGCACGGGCCGCACGGCGGGCGGCCTTGCTGAGTGGCGGCTGAGGCGATGCCGGCGCCGGCGAGCTGCCCATCACTTGAGAGAGCCAAGCCATGTTCTGCGCGCTCTGAGCCATGAGATCTGAGTGCATGGCCATAGCCTGCGCGAAGCTGGCGGGGCCGGTGGGGCCGTAGGGCGCGGCCGGGGCAGCCGGGGCCGCTGGGACTGCTACGGGCGCCGCGACAGCGGGGCCCGCGGGGAGCACGCCAGCGGGGCCGGCGGCGGCGGGAATAGTGGGGATTGTGGGGCCGGCGGCAGCCGCGGGGATCATCGGAAGCGCCGTGGCGGCGGGGCCGGCGGGCGCCCCGGCCATCATCTGGGCAGCCCACGAGTTCTGCTCGGCGGCGGTGGACAGCATCGAGTTGACGGTGGCAGCGGCGGCGGCGGCGCTGGCCGGCGCGGCGGCAGTGACCATGGTGGGGTTGGCGCCGCCGATGACGGTGGTGCCGCCCACAGCCGTGATGGTCGCCTGCAGGCTGCGGCGGCGCACCTGCCACAAGGGCCCGGGCCCAGGGGCAGCCGGGCGGCGGGCGCCGCTGCTCTGCCAGCTGATTTCGCCGGGGCTGTGGCGTATGTAGCTGCCCGCGGCTGGTGGCGCCGGCTTCTCCGGCGCGGGGCGGCCGGTCAGGCCGCCGGCCTTGAGGGAGGCGGCCAGTGCCCCGGGGGCGAGGAGCAGGGCCAGGGCTGCAGCCGGAGCAGTGGGCAGCACGCATACATGTCAAATGCAGCCTGGACTGGGGGACGATCCGATGGGCAAACGCATGCGGTTCGCGATATCGATGGCGGCAGCGACCAAGCAGCTGCTGCGTGCTGCGGTCTGCTAGCTACATTCGCTCACCAAAAAGCATGCTGGAGGACTTGCGTCTGTTCGCGTGGGTGCGCTTAAGATTAATAAATTATTTTTGACTGTTTATCACAAGCGTCTATTGCAAGCCGGGAGATCTCCTTTGAATTGGCCCAAGCTCACAAGCGGTGTACGCGCGTGTTCCTGCAATGCGCGTGAGCTGGACAATTTGCATTTGAAAGTTCGGTTTGTAGACCAACGGGCTTTGCCGGTCGGCCAAGCTTGTCACCGGTGTCAAGCTGCCATGCAATCGGCGGGCGCGCCAGGCGGCAGCTGCGGTGTACCGGTAGTGCCGGACAGCAGCCTTCTGTGGATGCAGCACACGCCGAGCTAGACCATGAATGAGGCATTTTGCATTTGCGCTGCTTGCCGCACACTTGCTCCTTTGATCCCCGGTGAGACGGTGACGGCCGACTACGACTCCAAGGTAGTGAGGTATACTTTTACTTCACCTTCACTTACCTTATGTCACCCTCTCCCCCCCCCCCGCCCCAGGCCTGGGCGCGCGCGCTTAGTCCAGGAGTCACCCTGGTCTAGCCTCCTTTGGTCCCTCGCAAGTCCCTGCCCGCAAAAATTTCACAATATTTTGTTTTCCCACGAGTTTTGCAGCCCCCTCAATCATTTGCTACCCTTGCAGGCCAAAGCAGTTTGTCATCAGGCCCCTAGGTGCCCCTACCCGCCTGCTGCAACTGGCGGCACCTCCCAACGTGGATAGCACGCGACTCCGCGCTATCCTGGGCGCACCTGCTTCGCGTGGCGCTGCACCTCTGCTGATTATGGAAGGCGTAGGGCGCCGCGCAAGACACCGCAGCCGCTGGCCATCAACACCCCCTCCCCTCCCGCGCATGGCGTCACACTGGTGGGTGCTGAGCGCTGAAACGGCGCACGCGTCTGCCGTGTGTAGGACGGGTGCCGCGGGCTTCACACAGAGCGGCGGCGCTCTTTGAGCCAGCCTGAGGGTGCGGCACGATCTCGGGCGCTTCCCCAACAACCGGCCGAGTGGCCCCACCTCGCTCGGGTGACGCGACCGGGTATGTGCACCCAGCCAACCAAAGTGCAGCCAGTCCTAGCACTGAAGGCGGCGCACTGAAGGCGGCGAGCGGCAGCTTTAATGTTGGTGTGCTGCACAGTAGCTGCCTCAAGCATAATGACATCCCCAAACTACCGTACTTTTATGTGAGCACCTTCACTGCAGCTGGTTCTCGGATCTTTGCATTGTCCAAATATATTGGCTGCACATTTCACAACCTGCTGCTCGCACGCGCGCCTGAAGTTGATCGAATTGCCAGGCGGCCGGCATGCAGGCGCTGTGGTGTGCCAATGCTATTCAACATGAATTCGCAATAAGCCTACGTTGGGACCTGTGGCATCGGTGGATGGTAATATATAATACATAGGATTGCCAACAATGACGACGCTGCCGAGTGTAAGGCTGTTTCCTGATCAATTCGTTGTTGGCTCCTTACAACTCCTTGGCTCCGTTCAAGGATATTCACATGGCCGGCGCCTTACAGGCTCCTTGCAGACTCCTGAAGCCCCAGATAAGTGCGATCTTGAGAAGTGACTAAGGATCATATCTGCGTTTGCAGCAATTCATCTTCCTGGGTTTGCACACCAAACATCCCCCGCACATATTTTCCAGGCCACGTATATTGATAACTGCAGCTGCATAATCATCATGTGAAAAAAGAATCACGGTTTTTTCAAAGAGTGGTATGAGTTGTTGTCTGAGCAGGATCCATTCACTCACTGCTCACCCCGCCAAGCCTCCCAACGCTTCTGGGAGTGATATGTGTGCAGCCGCTGCTGCCCGTTGTGACATGTGTGTTGAGTCGCGTACCCTGTTGCCTATTTGTGAGATCATCTTCGAACAGGCTTACGAAGTGCAATACTGGAAATTCAGCAATCTTTACACTGATCACTAGTTCAAAAACCAAGTACCATCATCATCTGCACACTACATGCAACTTTGCATTACAAGATCAGTAAAGTATCAGCAACGTTGCAGCTGCCAGAATTAAAACTGCCAACACAGCATATTGTTTTGAGCATTCATGTCACAGGTTGTGGCATCCAATTCATGAGGTGGTGCAAGGAACGAGCAATTCAGCCTGTTGGCTACACAAGCATCTGCGTTGCTGCGGATCAGTTCCGGGAGCGCTGCACACTCACGCCCCCGCTCGGTTCAAGCATAGGCAAAGAAGCAAAGGGCAACCACAAGCGCAGCGCCGTGCAGCACGCCCGCGCCTGCGCGGCTGGCACCCGCAGAGGTCGGTGCCCGCATCACGGGCAGCTGCTGCTGCGGGGCGGCGTCCGCGGCCCGTGGAGCACCCGCGGCCTGCGGGGCGGCAGCGGCCTGGAAAGCACCAGCAGCCGCCTGGGGGAACGCAAAGGCCTGCAGGGCAGAGGCGGTGCCAGCCATCATGCCTGCGCCCTGCGCCATCTGGGCCGCGGCGACGCCCATGTCCTGGCCGAACTGGGTCATCGCCTGGGACTGCTGCGCCATGGCCGATTTCATGGCGGCCGCAGGGTCGGCAATGGGCTTGTCCGAGACGATGGTAGGGTTGGCGCCGCCCACAACGGTGGTGCCGCCAGTGGCGGTGATGTCAGCGAGCAGGCTGCGGCGGCGGAAAATTTGGCCGCGGCCACCCTCGTTGGCGACGGGGTTGCCAAAGTTGTCAAAGCTGGTGGTCAGGCCGCCGTTGAAGCCCACGTCGGCGTTGGTAAAGGTGGTCATTCCGCCAAAGTTGGTGATGGGGGCGCGGTCGGAGGGCGCAAAGCCAGACGTGCGGCCGGCGATGGCCATGATGTTGGCGTTGGCAGAGGCTGCGGCCTGCTCCCCCAGGCGGCGGTGATCGAGCCCTGAGCAGATTGCGCCTGGCGCCAACAGCAGGGCCACTGCGACAGCGCGGATGTTGGCAAGGTGAGATTGAGGGTGCTGGAAGTAAGTGACGGCTGACCTGCATAATTGCTTTTGTTTGGGCGGTGTGGTGGTTGGCGCAGCGGCATCGTGCTAGGACTGCTACTCATACCGGCGCTGCTGTGCTCACCGGCCAGGATCGCCCAGCAGCTGCGGGCCATGTGTCGTGGATATTTGGCTGCGATGTCCTGTGATTTCAAGATCACTTATACACGTATCACTCGGACTGCGGGTGTTTTGACTGTTGAGTGCGTACGTGTATCAAGAGTCTGAGCGAAGTCTGAAGGTCGGGTTATTCGACTAGAGCCCTGCGTATGTTCGTTCAAGAGTGGGCTTGATGGAGCGGGTCGATTTGATGTTTGGATGGCAAGATGATTGCAATCATTGCTTGTAAAGGCGCACTGGGCTTCCCGCCGCCTGCCGTGCTGCTGCGCACCGCCGCCGCGTCGCAGCTGGGGAGTCACCCAGTGACGCCGACCACTGCCATGTTCTGCTGCGCGCAGCCAGCTGCGGCTGCCCTGCAGCGCTGCGCTTTGGCGGAGTGCTGCCTGCTGCTGCCGTGTGCTCTCGCAGTCACTAGCTCGTGTGTCACAGCGCTGTCTTGACCCCGCACACGCGTGCGCTCCCCTCCCCCACCTCCGGGACCTCGAAAACACACGGCCCTGCAAACTCAACGTCTGCGCACATCTCTTGCGTTCCATGTGTGGGAGCACAGTGAGTAACCAACAAGACTGTTCGTGACGTGTGAATCGCAAGTGACACTTGGCTTTTGACTAGACACAGTGGGCATGATCCTGCCTGCCTTTTGATACAATATATACATCCACACCGCTCAACATTATGCATTATAATGGCATAATACATGTTGAGCATTGCATGATTGACGCGCTCAAATCTACTTGAGTGATGTAGGCACTCTCTCACGATCCTCCGTGACTGAATTGACCGCGCTGTCATCTGCACAATCCCATTTCGCTGTGCGTCACTGGTTTGCCTGTCCGAGGCACACCCGGACGCCCAAATTGCACTGATAGGCATGATGTAATCCCCAGGGCATATAATGCCCTATCCAGCCCAGGGAGGCTGGGCGGAAGCTGTGCGCAAACGTGCCCGCGTCCGCACGTATTCACCCAGTATTGAAGCGGCGGTTCGCTGCGTTTCATTTGAGGACGGAACCCCTGGCGTTCGGAACCTTGTATCAATGTGTATCACTCATCTCATCTGATCCTGTTGTGCACACATACAAAGGCCCAAAGCCCAGCAGGCAGCCGTCCACCGCCCAAAGCGTCAGCTTGCGGTGAGTAGTAAGGGTGAGCGAAACCCCCCCTTCACACAAAGAGCCCGGGCCTCTGTGACCCTTCCTGGGCAAGCAGCTACAGACCCCCCGCACAAAAGCACAGAAATTGGGCGCACAAGGCCGAACAGAGGCTCTTACACCCACATGTCACCCATGGTCAGCCGGGGCACGCACAAACTGCCGACACATGCATCCCAATAATCATTGCAGCCGTATCATGCTGTATGGTGACGATCATTCATGCATTAGGTGGCATGAGCCACTTCCCTCGCAGACATGGACTCAGTAAGCGAGCTCGCTTACTGCGCACACCCCACGCCTCCTGTCTTTGCCAAGCTGACAATAGCGAGCAGCTGCTGGACATTCTTGAAATACGAGATGACTCATGCCTATTGCCTGTTGTTGAGTCTGCCTTCAAACGGACTTATCGAGTGTAGTTTTGAACAGTCAGCAAGTTTTACACCGTTCACTAGTGCAGAGACTAATTAGCATCATCGTATGCACATGAAGTGCAGCTTTGCAATCGAGGAAAGTAAAAGCGGCGTTGCAGCTGCCAGGAATGAAGTTTCCAGCACACCTCACACTCTGCATTTTTGGCATTTGCAAATCCCCAGTTGTTGCAAGGAACAAGCAAGACTGCTTAATGATTGTGAAAAAATCCTGCATTGCTGCAGGTCAACCTCACGCGTAGCATCAAGGCTCATGCTCAGCAGTTCAAGCAAGTGCAAAGAAGCAAAGGGCAACCACAAGCGCGGCGCCATGCAGCGCGCCCGCGCCCGCGTGGCTGGTGGCAGCAGAGGTCGGTGCCCGCATCATGGGCAGCTGCTGCTGCGGGGCGGCAGCTGCGGCCTGCGGAGCAGCCGCGACCTGCGGGGTGGCAGCAGCCTGGGGAGCGGCAGCAGCCGCCTGGGGAGCAGCGGCAGCCCCCTGGGGAAACGCGAAGGCCTGCGGGGCAAAGCCGGTTCCGGCCATCATGCCTGCGCCCTGCGCCATCTGGGCCGCGGCGGCGCCCATGTCCTGGCCGAACTGGGTCATCGCCTGGGACTGCTGCACCATTGCGGAGTTGATGGCCGCCGCGGGGTCGGCAATGGGCTTGTCGGAGATAATGGTGGGCTTGGCGCCGCCCACGACGGTGGTGCCGCCAGTGGCGGTGATGTCAGCGAGCAGGCTGCGGCGGCGGAAGATCAGGTCATAGCCGGCGACCGGGCTGTAGTCAAAGCCGGTGGGGGTGCCGCCGCCGTTGGGGGTGCCGCCGCCGTTGGGGGTGCCGCCGTTGGGGCCCGCGAAGTTGGGGAGGGGGGCGCGGTCGGAGGGGGCAAAGCCACGGTTGCTGCCGCCAACGGAAAAGATTTTGGCGTTGGCAGAGGCTGCGGCCTGCTCGCCCAGGCGACGGTGGTCGAGCCCTGAGCAGAAGGCACCTGGCGCCAGCAGCAGGGCCACTGTGAGGGGCAAAGGCGAGCAAAGGCGAGAGACAGGAGGGTGGTGGTTGGCAAGGTGCGATTAAGATTGCTGATACAGCAGCCACGGCTGACCTGCACTAATGAGTTTTGGGGGTGATGAGGTTGGCGCGCTATGCTACTGGCCTAGGGTGCTTGTGTGTCGCTCACCGGCCAGGATCGCCCAGCAGCTGCGGGCCATAGTTGATTCTTGGTGGCGAGGTTCTGTGGTTATATGAGCACTTGGACCAAAACGAGTTTATGTCGAGAGTGCGTACGCGTACTGGATCGGCAAGAGCGTGGTGTGTTGTTCGAGCAGCGCGTGTTTAGGAGATGGTTTGATGAAGCGGGCTGTGTTTGATGTTTGGATGACAACTTCGCTGCAAGGACTGGTTATAAAGGCACTCTGGGCTTCTCGTCGCCTGCGCGCTGCCGCCGCGCCGCAGCTGGCCACTCACCTGGTGAGACCGACCAGCCCGAGAGGTCAGTCGGTGGCCCCAAGGCCCTGCTGCATGACCAAGCAGGATGCGTTGCTCGTGTGTTGTATATGGGCAGGGATACCCACTCGCTTTAACAACAAAAGCAAGGTTTCGACACACTACAGGGAATCTCCTGTTTGCAGCACACTTGCCACTTCACGCCTACGAGACGGTGACGGCCGACTACGACTCCAAGGTAGTTGAGGTATACTTCTATTCTATCCCACATGACACATCTTGCAAGGCATATTTGTGATCAAAGCAACTGCTGAAATACATAGATGCACACGGCTCGTTGTGAAGTCACTCCAGGCCACGCCATTGGCTGGGTGGGGATGGACGCTGGCCGACCAAGGACACCACGCAAAAAAACCATGAGGAACGCACAAACAGCAGATCTTGCCGCCTCAAAAAAAGCCACTCGAACTCTGTATGTGGATGGCGCAGTGGCAGGCAGGACGGACAAAGCGTGACAAGGGGCGAGGTGCAGGGAGTGCCCCACCAGGATGTCAAGGATGGGTTGCGGGGGATCGCATGATGTGCTGGCGACACATCATTTCCCATCCACCTGTCACCCCCGTGCACGCAAGGCCCTGCGTGCATCACACCGCCCCACGTTCCTCTGAGTGTGGTACTGTATGTACATTGCACCCCTGCGCTTGAAAGCAGTCATTTTGAGCGCAGGGGTGCTGTTGGAGCCCACACCAAGGCTTACAAAACCACAGGCACAGGGCGACTCGTCCTCAGTTTTAGCAGCGAAGGCGGTGAGAGCAGAGCGCGCGTGCATGCAGCGAGGCGCCTCGCAAGGTTGCTGGCAGGGCCTCATTCCGAAGTCCCATCAAGTTGACACTATTTCAGGACCCACGGCAGCTGCACGCGGCAGGTGAGGGACCGCTTGGTGCAAGTTCGCCGTGCGACGTGAGGGTGGATTTTGCTGCCGCTGGTCATGCCCACTTCATATGCCACGCGGCGTGCAAGGCAACACAATCACCGACCTGACGCCAGGCGCTCGCCTCGCCTCGCTCGCATGTTGCAAGTCGTCCACGCTCAATCCCCCTTCCTCATCGATGTGCCACGTGGTTGGTGCATCAGACGACCCTGCAAGCGGCCACTCTCCTCGACCGCCAACAAGCAAGGGTGCAGCTGCGGCGCTGTTGGTTGCAGGTTGCCCCATCATGCCTGCAGCCACGCTGCACCTGCCTGGGGCTGCCCGCCACTCATATTCATGTCTTTTGTTACAGTGTTTTCACCTCCACAATACCACGGCAATCGTCATGACCGCCCAACACGCACACGCAAGCAGCACTTCAAAACTGCCTGATGTTGTTACATACAGTAAAGTTCCATTGTCACATGAGCGTGGATCGTGATCAGATAGCCCTCCCTGGGAGCTTGCTTGCCTTGGAAACTTTTCAACGGTTGTGCACATGCAGCTTCTATTACTAATCAGGGCCACGTTCAAAACAAAACCCGGGGCGCTTGGCACCATCCCGCCATGCATATAGGTGCCGGCCGCAGACAAAGTAGCAACTGTAAAAAGTATGGTGTCACACGGGCTAGATCAGAGATAAACCCAAGGTTGAGTGCAACAAGGGGAGAAGCCGCCGGGCTGCCAGCACAGCGAAGCTTTGACGCGGCGCATCAGAGCTTCTTTGCGCCAGGGATGATCTTGTCGCCGATGTAGACGCTGTTTGCCCTGATCACTTGAATCTGGCCAGGCTGCTCGGCAGGCTGGGCGGGTGCGGCAGGGGAACCAGGAGCGGCTTGCTGCTGCTGCTGCTGCTGCTGCTGCTGCTGCTGCTGTCGCTCGCGCTGCTGCTGCTCCTGCTGCTGCTGTACCTGCTGCGGGGTGCTGCCGCCCATGACTCGTGCGTGCCACGCGTTCTGCTCCGCACCCGTCTTCATTGCCTGCTGCATTGCAGCACCAGGGTTGGCCACCGCAGCAGCAGAAACAAGAGTGGGGCGCGCGCCGCCGATAAAGGTGGTGCCGCCCTGGGCAGCAATGTTAGCGGCGGCAGAGGCTGCAGCCTGCTCAGCCATGCGGCGGCGGTGCCACTGGTCGACGTACACGTTGCCGCCCTCGTTCTGGAAGGGGCCCAGCGCGCCACCGCTGAGGGTGATGCCGCCGCGGTGGTGGCTGTTGAGGTTGCCGTACACGCTTGATTGGCCGCCCACGTTGATGGTGGGAACGCGGCCGCCGACCAGGGTCATGTCGCCCATCCGCAGGACGGGCGGCGCGTTGGCAGCCTGCTCGCCCAGGGCGCGGCGGTCAGAGGTTGTCAGGCCGCCGGCCTTGAGGGACGCGCCCAGGGCCCCGGGGGCGAGCAGCAGGGCCAGGGCTGCTTTTGAGGGGAGTGAGAGAGCGGGAGTTGTGGAAGTGAGCTATTTGATCTGAAGGGCGGCAGGCAGGGCACCGTCGCGCGCGGACAGACGCAAGGGCTTTGCTGGGCAAGCGTAATTGCAGCGGTGGCAAAAGGAAGGGTCACTCTCGCAGGACGAAAAGGGCCTGGACGCGCGCGCTTCGGTCCAGACTCGCCCAGACCCAGGCAACTGGCGCCGCAGCAACGCGCGCCAAGAACACCCTGGCTTGACAGGAGGCTCACTCGCCACAAGTGCCATGCACGGACGAGCTATCATCTTTTGGTCTTGGACTGAGCCGGGCGGTCACTCAATAAATGATTACGTACTGTAGGTGCGGGCTCACGAGGCTCCGTTGGACAGCGAGGGATTACGGTAACAGCTGCTCGATTGCTGGAATGCAACTCGGTTGGCATGCAATGGTCATCTGGATATGTTTAAGTAGGCAGCAGTGCTGCCCGCCGTTCACCAACCCACGACACCATGGACGCACAGCTGCGGAGCAGCTGTGTCACTGGTGCAGTACTGTAGACCGCATGGGAGACGAGACCGTGCTGGACCGAGTGCAAGCACGTGCCCCATCAAATCCTCGCATGATTGCAACATCTCCATTCACAGCAGGTCGAGGTGAAGACCCGGCCAAGCCTTGAGGATGCTTGCCCCAAGGCGCAAGCGCGCCGGCGCTTTTCACAGCAGGTCGAGGTGAAGAACCGGCCAAGCCTTGAGCATGCTTGCTTCAAGGCGCAGGGGCGCCGGCGCCGTGGCTGGGTGGTTGGGAGGCCGGATGGAAGCCGCCCGCTGCAATGGCGGCGGGGCGGCCGGCTCGGCGGGCGGTGCGGGCAGCAGACTTCGGTACAGCTCAACCTGTCACGGACCGGCTTGCCACGGACCTTGGCGCCGCAGGACTTTGTATCGGGTCCGCTTCAAGTCAGGTGCATTTGTGTGAGAAGGTCTTGCATGCGTGCACGCACGCATGCATAACGTGTCGGCAAAAAGGGTGTCCGCCCCCAGATTTGCGGGTTGACACAGGGAAGGTCGCTCGGCGCCGGGCACCCAGGAGTTTGGATGCCGCCCAACGGTGTGCACCCACACTTTTGCAACACGGTCGATCATACCAGCTGCAATGGCGTAACTACACCGTGTGCTTACAGCATTGCAGCTGGTATTGTCGACCTTGGTTGGCAATGCCCTGCAATGTGGGACGTTTCTACCACATGTTTCCGCGTGTCACCACCTCCTAGCTGTTATGTCCCTCAACTGCGGAACAGCTGCAGTCCCCGGGCAGATCAACAAACCCAATCAGACATCAGAATGTGGATTTGTGCAAGTTGTGGGTTGCGCTCTTCTGGGGCGGCCCACTCAGCAAATCAGGCAAATGTATCGTCGTCCTGAATGCATGATTGGCAGCACTGCAGGGGATTATCACTAATGGTTGAACAGGGTCAAGTTGGAAAAATCATCAATTCGAGATGAGTTACATCAGAGTTTTTGCAGAATTGGAAAACAAGCCACAAGGCAGATGGCAATCTGCCAGCAGGCTCATCTGCGAGCCACATGCGATGCATACAATGAGGTGATGCATGCACACAGGTACGCCAGCCGTTGGCGCACCCGCGTTTTAGAGCACGGCATGAAAAGAAGTGCTGCGCCACGGCGCCTTGCTGGGCTGCGCTTGCGTCGCGTATTCGCAGCGAGCTCGCGATGACGTCAAGGGCAGCCACCGTATGCTGGTGATTACGAATGGCGGGCCGGAGCAGGGGAGCCCTTGTGTGTGGCGGGAGCTGGAGAGCCCTTGGGCGCGGCTTGCACGCTTGGCGACCCCACCGGCGTGGGACTGGCTTGCGCCTTCTGCTGCTGCTCCTTCTGCTGCGCCTGCTTCTGCTGCGTCTGCTGCTGCTGCTGCTGCTGTGTCTGGTGCTGCTGCTGCTGCTGCTGCTGCTGCGCCTGCTGTTGCGCCTGCTGCGCCTGCTGCTGCCGACCCTGATGCTGCTGCTGCCACTGCTGCATCTGTGGAGTGTTGGCCATCATCTGCTTCGCCCACTGCTGCATCTCCTGCTGGCTACCGCCTGCAGCCTGCTGCGCCCACTGCTGCTGCTGCGCAAAAGAGGCCATGGCCTGGTTCATGGCCGCCCCAGCGTTGGCGGGAGGGCTCGCGGAGACCATGGTGGGGTTGGCGCCACCAATGAAAGTCGTGCCACCCTGAGCGTTGATGGTGGCGGCAGCAGCCTGCTCGCCCAGGCGGCGGAAGATCTGGCCACGGCCGCCCTCATTGGCGACGGGGTTGCCGAAGTTGTCAAAGCTGGTTGTCAGGCCGCCACTGAAGCCCACGCCGGCGCTGGTGAAGGAGGTCGAGCCGCCATAGTTGGTGATGGGGGCGCGGTCAGAGGGGGCAAAGCCGGACGTGCGGCCGCCGGTGGCAAAGATGTTGGCGTTGGCAGAGGCGGCGGCCTGCTCGCCCATGCGGCGGCGGTGCCACTGGTCGATGTACACGTTGCCGCCCTCGTTCTGGAAGGGGCCCAGCGCGCCACCGCTGAGGGTGATGCCGCCGCTGTGGCGGCTGTTGAGGTTGCCGTACACGCTTGACTGGCCGCCCACATTGATGGTGGGGACGCGGCCGCCGACCAGGGTCATGTCGCCCATCCGCAGGACGGGCGGCGCGTTGGCAGCCTGCTCGCCCAGGGCGCGGCGGTCAGAGGTTGTCAGGCCGCCGGCCTTGAGGGACGCGCCCAGGGCCCCGGGGGCGAGCAGCAGGGCCAGTGCTGCTCGCAGAGCAGAGGGTGAGGGCAGCGAGAGAGGGAAGATAATTGGGGTCGACAACAGCCTTCAACAGCTGCTTGGTGGCAGTGCTAGCGATCGAGACCAGGCGTATGGCGACCGAGCCGTGGGCCCGGGCGCAGAGACACAGGTGCTGTACATACGCACCCCTCGCAGGTGCGCACTGTGCCTCACCTGCTGCAAGTGCCCAGTAGCCGCGAACCATCATGTGAATCTGTTATAATGAGTTGATATTCTGTGTTGTATGTATAGCGTTGCAGGCGGCGCTTGCCTCCGCACGGCAATCGGGAGCACTGGTGTTTGTCGCTTCGTTTGTTTTGGCCTTGGAGTTTGAGGGCAGTGATGTATGTGATCGTGGTTTCTGGACGTCCTGATTTATATGGAGTCTTGCGGCAGCAGTCCTACTGCCGCGCGGCACGCTCTGCTGCAGCAAAGCAGCTGGTGTCACCGGGTGAGAACTCTAGACCGCACCAAGGTGTGGCTGGGTGTGACCAGCACAGCACGGTGTGTTGGTCGGTGCCTCATCGCATTCAAAACTTATGTTGGTCACTGCCACGAATTGTTTTGGTGGGGGAGCGCAGGAAGGGTGCACAGCCAGAAGGAGAGTTCGGCGGACCCGAGCGGCGCATTGCGTGCCCATTCGGCCATGCGGGCTGCGCCGCACGCTGCAGCAAACGCACCTCCGGCCAGCCCTACTGCCACTGAGGCGGCGTGCGGCGGCCGCTCACCCCACACATTTCCTCAAGGAGCCACACCAGCCAGTCGCATGGGCCGCGCACCGCCTGGACACCGTGTGCCGTGACGTCGAGCTGCGGGTTTCACCCTGGCTGGCCTGATCTCAGGCAAAGCCAGGCTTGAACTGCATTCTGCACATGCGTCGTGCTTGAGCGCCTCCCTGAGCTGGCGGCGGAAGCGCGCTGCATGTCGGACGGCGCTGCATTCAGCTGCCGCTCTGTAGGGCGTGCGTGCCGGTGCATTTCAGTTCATTAGTAACGGGCGGCGGGCTGCACGGCGCGGCGCGGCGGCTGGGCGGTGTCGGCAAACGGGGCTCTCCTAGGCTCCACACCATGCAAAATGCCAATCGGCGCAGGGAGCCGGCAATCTGTGGGTGCCGCTGCACATTCAACAGGGAACTGGCGCGCCATGCCTGTCGAGTCAGCACAGGTTGAGCCGTTCAGGCTGGCAATTGATACAGCTGGGGGTGCGCAGTGAGCGGCTGTGGTGCCGCGGCGACTCCCAGGATTCTGTTTGTGATGTTATCTGCGTTAGGGCCATATCCAGACTTGGAGCATCGAGAGAGCGGGCGCGACCACCAGTTGGCGCAACATGCTCTGGGATGCTCGGCATCGGGGTCGGCGCCGCTGCGCTTAAAACCCCGTATCAAATATGATTATAAATAATGTTTGCAATCATATTTGCGTATGTTTGAACACCCCTTCCCGCTGGTTATGACGACCTGATTGGCGAGGGTGGGCAGAGGACGCGCCACGACCGGCGGCTCCTAGCCTCAGCTATCGCGATCGAATCGATGGTGCGATGACATGCGCGTTGTGCAGTCCAGGATTGCAGGGACCACGGCTCCCGTGCCCTGTCGGGCCGTGTCAAACGACGCGCTCGCGTGTCGCCGCATTGGCGCCCCCGCCCGCCGTGCTCGCGGCGCCGGGGCTGCCCACGGCACTCATAAGTAATCTCCATGCCATGTGCGGCGCGCGGCAGCCGGGCGGGCGCCGTCGCGCAACAACCCCGATCCAGCCAAGGACGCGGACCCGATTCGGACAGTCACCTGCTGCCGACAGCGCCCCGGCAGCGCCCTGGCTCGCGCACACGTGCAAATCGATGCAGCGACACGCCCCCCGCGCCCCGCCGCCTCCGTCGCGCCCCGCGCAGGGCCCCGCCGGCGCTCCCTCGCTGCTGGAGGCGCGGCGCCACTGCTACGGCCCCAACACGGCGCTGAATTATGAGTCACCCATCCACATGGTTCGGGGCTCGGGGTGCCACCTCTTCGCTGAGGACGGCACCCAATACCTTGATTGTGTCAACAACGTGACCCACGTCGGCCACGCAAACCCAGCGGTAATTACACTTTACTTTGCGTGCACGTGTGTGACCGTGCCTCTTTGCTGCCGCGCGGGTGCGCCGCGCCAGACCCCTCGGCGCCCTCGCCTGCGAGCGCCCTGCCCTGCCGCGCCCCCGCGCACGCGATGTCGCTTGGAATGAGACCGAGCCGGCGCGCCGCGCGCTCGCAGGTTGCCGGGGCTGTCGCGGCGCAGCTGTCAGTTTTGAACACGAACAGCCGGTACCTGTCGCGCGGCCTGGTTGACTACACCCAGCAGCTGCTCGCGCTGCTACCGGGATCCCTGGAGGTGCGCCCCGCCGCCGCCGCGCGCGGCCGGGGCACTATTAAGGGCGCGCAGGGCCGCGGCCGAGCCCGCGCGCCCGCCGCCTGCCGCCGGCCGCCTGCAGCCGGCCGCTGCTGCCTAGCTGCCGCCTCCGGCGCGGCCTCACGCCTTGAACGGCAGACACCACCCCATCCCTCAATGACCACGCTCAACTCCGCACGTTCGTGCGCACACCATGCGCGTTTGACCACCGTTGACCAGGTCGCGTTCCTGGTCAACAGCGGCAGCGAGGCGAACGATCTGGCGCTGAGGGTCAGCCGCGCGGCCGCCGCCGCCGCCGGGCGGCCGGGCGCGACGCACGTGGCCGTCATGGGGGGCGCGTACCACGGCCACCTGACGACCACGATGGCGATCAGGTGGGTGGGGTTGCTCGTGCGCGCAGGTCGCCGCGCGCGCGCACAAGGCGGGGGCGAGGCACAAGGGCGGGCGGGACACAAAGCCGTGCCGCGGGTTCTTATATCTCGTTTGAGTCGGGGACTCTGCTTGAGGCTTGGCATGCGCGCGGCGACAGTGGGGGAGGACTGGCGCCAGCGCGCCCCCTGAGGCAGCTGGCGCGTGGGCGGCTGCTTGCACAGTGGCGCCCCCAGCCCGTGCCTGCGAAGCAGGCGCCGGCGCCCACGTGCCGCGTCCTCCCTCCCTCTCGCGCAACCCCGCCCCATCCCACCCCACCCTGCCGCACCCACAGCCCCTACAAATTCTGGGGCCGTGGCGGCGGCGGCAAGGAGAGCTGGGTGCACGTGCTGCCCTGCCCGGACCCCTATCGGGGCACGCACCTGGACGGCCGCGCCGCCGCGCGCGGCGCGATTGCCGAGGCGCGCGCGGCGGGCGGGGAGCTGTGCGCGTTCATCTGCGAGAGCGTCCTCTCCTGCGGCGGCCAGGTGGGCGCGCGCGCGGCGCGCGCGGCGGGGCGCTTGCGCGTCTGTATGTGCTGCGACCCCCCTAAGCGATTGAGGCGGCGCCGGCGCCGCGCGCGCCGGCGTGGAGGATGGCAGTTCGCAGAATGCTGTCACGCATCATGCGCCCAGCTAAGAGCGGGCACTGCTCCTGACACACACACACACGCGCACACACACACACGCGCGCGCAAACACACACACACACACACACATGCACACACACAAATTCATCACAGGTCTTCCTGCCTGACGGCTACCTGGCTGGCGTGTACGAGGAGATGCATGCCGCCGGGGCCCTCTGCATCGCCGATGAGGTCCAGTGCGGCTTCGGCCGCGTGGGTGACGCCTTCTGGGGGTTCCAGCTGTCGGGCGTCACCCCGGACATCGTAGTCATGGGCAAGCCGATCGGTGAGCGGAAGCTGGAGGGGCGGTGGCGGCGCGCGCGGGGGTGGCTGCCCGAGCGGGGCCCGCGCTGCGGCCGCGTGCAAGGCGGGGCGTGGCGTCGGCGCGCCGGCGGCGGGTTGGAGAGGGCTGTGTGTGTGTGTGTGTGTGGGCGGAAGGCATTGGAAGGGGGTGCGGTGCGTGGGCGATTTGATGTGGTTTTGTGGTTTTGTGCACTCACACTTGGTGCCCACGGGTGGTGTCTGAATAGAGTGCGTGCGTGCGCTCTCGTGCGGCCTGCGCAACCGTTGCAACGGGCGCCGCGCCGGCCTGCCAAGGCCGGACAATCCGCAGCCGGGCCTCTTGGCGCGGCCGCCGACGCTCGCGGCCCTTGCGCCGCCTCCCCTCACCCCCGGCCCCCCTCTGCCCCTCCGCCTGCAGGCAACGGCTTCCCGCTGTCAGCGGTGGCGATGACGCGGCCCCTGGCTGAGGCGTTCGCCACCCAGGAGTACTTGTGAGTCCCCCCAGAACCCGAATGCGCGCCAACGCACACGCCGTCAACAACCCCTCCTGCGCGGCTCACCCCGCCGCACGCCCTCCCCCCTTTCCCCCCTCGTCTCGCCCGGCTCTTCTGTGTGCCGGCAAACATCTCTTTCCACGCTTCGCCTGCTCTGCGTTGCGTCACGAGCGTCCTAATAACAACGTTCACGCTTAGCTAAGCCATCAGGAGGAGTTCCAGCCTCACAGGGGCCCCACACGGCCCTTCAACAGCCCTCAGCCCACTTGTTTGGCTCGACGGCCGCGGCCGCCCCCTCGTCGCCCCAACACCAGTCCTCCCTCCATCCTTCGGTCGGCTTTTTGCCTTCGCAGCAACACCTTTGGCGGCTGCAACGCGGCGGTCGCGGCGGGGCTGGCGACGCTGGAGGAGGTGCGGCGGCTGGACCTGCAGCGGAGGGCGCGGGAGGTGGGAGCGCACCTCATGGGGCGCCTGAGGGAGCTGCAGGTGCGTGCGTGCGCGCGCGCGTGTGTGTGTGTGTGTGTGTGTGTGTAAGGG